TGCCTGAACACGCCCTCGGTCTACAGACTGCTCTCTCCCTCCGTCGGTTCCAAGGACTGGCTGCTCTGGGCTTGTTCACACACACACGTGCTTGCTTAGCAAATGACGGGCCTCAGTTTCCACACCTGTGCAATGGGGGTAATACTAGTGCCTGCTGCACAGGGTTGCTGGAGGCGGAGTCAGGGAGCTGGCGTGGAGGATGTGCTGAATGGATGTCAGCTGTTAGTCACAGTGTTGAGAGGCACTGCAGGAGCAAAACCTGCTCTGGGTCATTGTGTAACTTGGTCCTCAGGCCTCCCTTCTAGAAAAGGCGAGATGGGAGCACTTTGTGTTTGGCCTTTCCAGGAAGGAGACTGCGGAGACAGAACTGGGAGGGTAAGTTTCTTCACTTTCCCGGTGGTGGGCCAGTGGCTGTGGGAGCTAAAAGCCAAGCCAGATCCTGTTCTCTAGACGGGCTGCAACAAACGAGCCTCACTGGACAGAGGGCCAGGGCCGAGGGTGTGAAGGACACAGTTTAAGTTCACCCTGGTCTCTGCTCCTGCTGCAGCCCCTGAGGTCTCTCCATGTGGGCACCTGTGGGTCTGTTTTTCACTCTGAAATTTTAACCTGAGGTTAGACATCCGAGTTTCTAGGCCAGATCAGCCCCACCCTTCTCAGCTCTGGGGCTGGCCCTCGTCCAGAGACCAAAGCTCCCGGTGCTCAGAGCGTTTGGGGCGGAGGCCGAGGTCCTACCCACGACTCACCCTCCTCGTCCACCCATCCCAGTGACCAAGCACCTGCTCTGGGTCAGGCACTGGGAAGGGGAGGAGGAAGGTGGTCGGAGTGGAAAGGTGGCCTTGGCACATGGCCTGACAGGGTGGAGGTGGGTCACTCAGTGTGTTCAGAGCAGCGGGGGCTCGTGAGGCAGTGCCTGTTGGCTGACAACCTGATTTCCCTGATAACCGACACACGTTACCTGGACGGCCAGGGCTGCTTAAGGGCTTGTGTTTGTAAACAGGTGACAGCACTGCCGATTCCGACGTGTGATAGGAGATATGGAGCAGAGTGAATCAGCTCTTGAACCTGAGGCAGCTTGCAGGGAGCACCCTGGTGGGGGACAGGTCCCCTGCCCCTGTGTTTAACACCCACGTGAGCATCACCTAGGAGGTGCTGGGGAAACCAGAGAGAGGCCAGGGGCTGGGCACTCCTCACGGACCCTGCACGTTAACCTGGGGCTGGCGTTTCCTACGCCCAGGGCTTCTGTTCATAGCCGATGCCTTGACCGGCTGCAGAGGGATGGGGGCTCTCCTGGGGCACGTGGGGTCAGGCTGGCAGTCAGGGCTGGGCCTTTGACCCTGTGAACACCTGGAGGGGGAACCCTGTCACCACAACCACCCCAGGAAAGGACTCACGCCTAACTCTTGGGGTGGTCAAGATGCCTAGGGGGCCCCAACAGCCTGGCCCACCTGCCCTTAGAAGGCTAAAAACCTCTGAAGACCCCAACCCAGCAAGGCCTGAGCCAGTGGTTGCAGTTGGTGAGGTCAGGGATCATCTGAGAATCAAAGCCGGGTGTCCTCAATCTCTGGGAAAGGAGGACAGGGGCCACCCTGGTCCAGGCTGCCACGTGCTTGCTGACCCAGGGAGCCCCTCATAGCCAGTGCACCAGGACCCACGGATCCCTGAGCAGATGTCTGAGGTGGGTTGTTGCTGCGGGAAAGGGCACCATCCCTACTGGAAAAAGCAGGGTGCAGGGAGGGCGGGGCTGCAGGTGGTCAGAGCACGAAGCAGTAGGGACTAGGCCCCCGGGGAGTCATATGTGGAACTGGGTCAGCAGGGATGCTGAGCCAAATGGGTGTGTCGCCGTGAAGTGTCTAACGGTCACGCCAGACACATGCATGGGGGAGGTCTCCTGGTGCAAGGCAGGTAGGGCCTCTGCCTGAGCCCAGAGGAGCCAGAAGACACAAGGACAGCCTGGTGTGATGCACGTGCCGTCACCTGCTTTTCAAATGATGTGAGTATTGGTTTCTGCTTGTTTCCGAGTCTCTTACCCTCTGTCAAGGATCCCCCCCCTTCCTGCAGTCACTCTCCACAGCCCTCCAACTCCACCTACCTGGAGCCTCAGCCGGAAGGAGTCCTTCCTCTCCTAGGATGCTGCCCCCACCTTCGCTTTTATCCAGTGGTTCCCATCTCTTACATGTTTCCCACCTAACAGCTCGCGTAGTGGCCTACAAGCTCCTTGAAGGCAGGAGCCACGCATGCAGCCCTGCTGGGGGTTTGAGCTCTGGCTGCCTGGCCTGCTGCCTGTGTTCCTCTGACCCCCTCCTAAGTGCTCAGGAACAACTTATGGCAGTACTTTTTAATGGCAGCTGGTTGCTAGTTTTTAATCAATGAACCAAAACAAAAACTGAGTAAGTCAAATAGGCCTATTCATTTGCAGTGGCACTAAGTAAATAATGCAGACCTTGATACATGAAGCTAACCTTTTTCATCAATACACACCTTTCATCTTTCCCCGTCATTCTGATGTCCTTTGCTTTGTTTATACCAAGGTTTAATGTGACTTTGTATGCCCGGTCACTGCTCTCTGTGGCTAGAGGGATGGTCATGACGACAGAGAGAGCAGCTCTGCCCTGCTGGCCCCTCAGCACGAATGCCTTCAAGGAGACACATGGCCGGGGTGGGGGGGCGGGGGGAGTCGCTATACCGACTCCCAGCCTGGCTTTCCTGGTAGATACCAGGCTAGACGGCAAGACAGGAACCCTAAATACTAAGAACCCACGTGATTAGTAATCGGAGAAAGCTCTGTGCGTGCACTCGCTGCCTTTTCACTCTGTACAGGATGCATCTGCTGGGACCGCAGAACTTCTGCTGGACGCTCAGCATGACTTATCCAGCCTGACGTCAGGGTCACAGTGCAACTGGGGACACTGCAGCTTTTGGGCACTGTCAGTACCTCTTCCCCCCCATCTCTCCACAGAGCCATCTCCAAGGGCCGGCCAGGAGCTGTGCCCTGCCCCCACCACAAGCTACGGTCTCTTTGGGTGCCATGCAGGGAGGGAGGTCACACCATCCGTGAGCAGTGACGGAACGCCTGAATGACAACAGCCTCTCTGAAGCAGGGTCTGTGTGGTTTTGACAGCCTACTTGTGTCTTTTAAGTTAGTTTGCTGCCAACTCCACAACTTTCTCCAAGTTAGGATCAAACTTTTGCCTGAAATCAGCACTGGGGGAAGGTTTGAAGCTTTATTTTCAAAGATCAGAATTTTAGCCAGCTATATTCATAGGGTTAGGGACAAACAATACTTAGCTTCAACTTACCCCAGGTGTTCCCGTGACAGCCTTGTGAACACTGGAAGATGACACGCAGTGATTACGTAAGGACCCTGGCCTTCAGCCAGAAGCCCCAGCCTCCCCAGCGCACGCGAGGGCGGGGCAGGCCGGCGTGTGCACAGGCGGCGGCCCCTGCATGGCTGCTGGTGTCTCAGCAAAATGCGGCGGTAACGTGGTCAGACGTAACAAAGGACCCCCTCCCTCCCCGGGCAATTTAGCAGCATTCGTTTCAATACCCAGAAGAAAATGTAGCCTTCAACAACAAGGTTAGACCACTACTTATGGATTCCCTCTGAAAACCCAGACCCTGCAGTGTGGCTACTCCGCTGAGCTCTCCTAAAGGCTGAGTTTAGGAGAGTTCGGAAGGCCTACACACAACTGAGAGAAAGAGCATCAGAAAGAGACCATCACGCAGTAATGTTAGCATCGTGGCAGCATAAGACGGGTCCTCCTTTCTGACCCCCCTTTTAACAAAGAATTAGTCACCCATCAATGAACAAAAGCATGGTTGTGGGGCTCTGGGATCCATCACCACCTACAAAGGGCCCCGGGAGGAGTCTTGCCTGCTTGTGCCTCTGGTGCAAGGCCGGGGGACCCTGCCGTGGGCTGTGGAACTGTGGAACTGCAGAGCAGTGAACTTGCTCCAGCCCATCCTGCCATGGTCGGGAAAATACCAGGAGGCTGCTGACCTGGGCAGATACCCACTGACAAGAGAGAAACTGCAGAAAGCCAGCATACCACTGGAGCAATAAAAACAAATGGAAATGGAAAAAACTTTACCAGCACTGCCCCAACCCTTGTGAGGCAACGCTGTTATCAGGTATTGTAATAGTAAAGAACAGATCTGACTCTATAATAGATCTGTTCCTTTGGCTTTAACCCTGCGCCCTGTTTCCTAGGCTTGGTCTGGCTAGCTCTACACTCACGTAAAAATAACAAGCTGCAGAATAGAGAATAACTTCTGTTTTCTTGGCGGTTTTGCAGGAGCATCATGACCTGGCCCACGTGGACGGCTGCAGGAACAAAAAAATTCCTACACCAAGAAGTTTGCCACCAACCACACCCCCTTCCCCTGTTTGTTTGAATAAAAGGAGCCTGTATTCTGACTAGAGCAGGATGGTTCTCCAAGATATTAGTCTTCCATCCTCTCGATCTGCCAGCTTTCCAAATAAAGTCGCTATTCCTTGCCCCAACACCTCGTCTCCTGATTTATCGGCCTGTTGTGTGGCGAACAGAACGAATTTGGACTCGGTAACAGTATTAGCAACCTTTGTCCTGGGGGGAAAAGAGTGGTGACCAGCTACCCCAGTGGTGTAGGACAGACACAGCTGGAGAACCTGTTTCTCTCAAGCAGCAAAGTACTAAGGTGGGACCTCAAAGACTAGGGGAGGGAGGAGATTGGGAAAGAAGCAAATAAGATCAAAGGGTATTAAAGTGACACACCCATTAACACCTACCCATGAGCCTCAGATGTTCTCCCTAGGGGGTCCCCAGTTACCCCCTAAAGCCCCGAGTGCTAAGCTTACACCTTCCCCTACTCTGTGGCCAGCAAGAAGCTACAAACTTGAGCTATAGCACCGCCTCCTGGAAGACAAGAGAGGTGTCCAGAAGCCAGTCTGGTGAGCTGTAAGAATCAGAGACGACATAAAAGCTGAAGAATTCTGCCACAGAGAAGGCAAAAAGAGAACCCCCAGACAACAGGAACACCACTGAACAGAATACCCCATCTGAACTCAACTAGCACAAACTGAAGGAGGTATCTGCCCCTTCCAGTGCAAAAAAACCCCCCAAAAGGCAATGCAGTACTACAAAGAACATGAAAAGTCAAGAAAATATACCATCACCAAAAGATAATAATTCTCCAATCATGGACTTCAAAGGCATGGAATTTTGCAATCTAGCTAAATTCAAGAAAGCTGTTTTGAAGAAACTCAAAAGAGCTACAAGAAAACTCAGAAAGACAATTCAACAAAGTCCTGAAAACATACAGGTTTAAAATGAGTTACTTACCAAAGAACCAGAAGTCATAAAAAAAAGAACCAAGCAGAAAGCTTAGGAGCTCGAGGACTGAAATGAAGAAATGCTATAGACAGCATCTGCAGTGGAGCGGAACAAATGGGAGAGTCACTGTGACCGAGCAGGACCCTGTGGGGCCCTCCAGGGTCAGACCACTCACTCCCCCACACCCTCTGCTGCAGCTCCTCTCTGAAGCACCCAGATGATAGTATCTCATGTATATTTCCCAAATTTTTCAGATGCTTAAAACCACCACTAAAGGGAAGAAGTTAACTACTTGATGATCGAGAACACACAGCCCCCAGACTTTCCAGCACCCAGGGGGTTGGCACTGTTGAGTGCCCTGTTCCCTCCACTTGAGCCAATCAGAGGATTGTGCACGAGCTGATAACATATTCTGCCACATACCTCCCCCTCGCCCACCGCCACCGCCACCACCACCACCTGGCCTTTAAATATGCTTGGTGAAATCCTTTGGGGAGTTCAGCGTTGTCTTGGGCATGAGCCACCCCATCTTCCTTGCTCGGCCCTGCAGTAAACCTTTCTCTGCTCCAAACTTTGATGTTTCAGTTTGTCTGTCCTCATAGTTGCCTTCAGTAACATGAGTCGGAAGATTCTGAGATACTCAAAGGAAAGCAAAGAAGAGTGAAGAAAGCTTATGTGATTTAAGGGATTCCATCAAAAAAACCAAAAGTTATTAGAAAAATTAGGGTTCCAGAAGAAGTAAAGAGAGGGATGGGGGCAGAAAATTTGCTGGGAACTTCCCAAACCTGAAGAGAGAAATGGGCATCCAAGTTCACAAAGTTCCAAAATGATTCTTAGTATCTCAATGCAAAAAGACTTACTCTAAGACACATTATGATAAAACTATCAAATAATCAAAGGTAAAGAATTCTAAAAACAGCCAGGGGGAAAAATATTATAACCTACAAAAGAACTCCTATTAGGCTATCAGAAGATTTCTCTGCAGAAATTCTACATACCAGGAAAGAGTGGAATGTCTTATTCAAAGTGTTGAAAGAAAAATTGCCAACCAAGAACTATCTGGCAAAGTTATTTTTCAAATACATAGGACAAAAAGACTTTCCAAGACAGACAAAAGCTGAAACCTTTGGAACTAATTAACAAATTCAGACCTGTCTTGCAAGAAATGCTGAAAGGAATACTGCAGGCTGAAATCAATGGATGCTAATCAGTGACATGAAAACATACAAGAATATACAACACACCGGTAAAGGCAAATATAGAGGCAGACTTAGCATTTTCCAATTCTGTAATAGGATAGTGTGTTAACCACTTAACCATAATATAAAGGTCAAAGGAAAGGAGTATTAAAATTATAATTATGGTAACTGTAATTTGCTAAA